GCGGAACGTGCCCGGCATGCACAGAATGGGCAAAAAAGTGCTGAAATTGGCTTTATGCCACACTTTCGGCCCAGTTTCACTTCCTTCCTAGCCTTGGCAGAGGATGGGGAAATCCATGATCTCCATGGCTGGTGGCCTCTAAGGCCACACATTCCTCTCCTTCTGTCTCCATCAAGGAGCTCCCTCCTCATCCAGGTCCAGTCTCCTTACAAAAGGAGATTTCTTAGGACCTTCCTCTCTGTTTCCTTTACTGGCACCCAGTGTCAGGGAAGACTTGACAGAGACACCTTTTGTTGGGAAAAGGTGCTGGAGAAAGGGAATCTGTGTAGGATTTTTACCTTTATTCTTTACCATGAGAGTGGTGAGGCCCTGGCACAGGTTTTCCAGAGAAGCTGTGCCTGCCCTTGGATCCCTGGAACTGCCCAGGGCCAGCCAGATTGGAGCAATTTGGTTTAGTGGAAGGTGCCCCTGTTCATGGCAGGGAGTGGAGCTGGATGAGCTTTAATGTCTTTTTCACAAACCATTTTGTGATTCCATGATTTGAGGCTGCATCTGGATCCCAAGGTTTGCAATTTCCCGGGGCTGAGCAAGAGCCAAACTTCACACCTGTAGTGCCTGAGGTTGGAAAGGGCTTTTCTTCACCAAGGACACTACTGCTTCCCTGCTTCCTTGGCTGCAGGAAGAGAGGTGGAAAAGGGATTTTAAGGCTGGCCAGGGTGAATGGAGGCATCTGCATGAGAAAGCATCCAGATAAACTCAGTGCCAGGGTGGAGGGGATGGCTGGTGCTGATAACCACGGCTGGACTGGGATGTGGCCCAATGAGGAACACAGGACAGGAGCCATCCCTGTCCAGCCCAGCAGCTGGGAGCTGATACAGTCCTTGTGCAGCTGAACCCCAGGGAGAGCAGTGCTCTGATAAGGGCAGGGAGCAGCCGGGTTCTGACATCTCCGTCATCCTCCTGCCCTGGAGGTCAGCCAGCTCTTCCCACAGCATTCCTGACCCACACACATCTGCTCTGGATGTGCCCTGTCCTTCCTGAACATCCAGCATGGATGCAGAAAGCAATCCAGCAATCCCTTTCCCCCTGCTGGTGTAAATAAGGAGGAGAAGGGCTCCCCACATCTTCTCCCAGCCACACAATAGCCTTGAGCCCTGTGAAACTCCTGGTCCCCAAAACTGCTCTCAGACTCATTTTTTGTAGGAAATGAACTCCCTTCAGGTGGTTATTCACTCTCTGTCCAAGACAGAATTTTTCTCTGCTGCCCTGGAGGGATCATAGAATCTCAAAATGGGTCATATTGGAAGAGACCTCAGAAACACAAAATTTCTAAGGTTGGGAAGGACCTGCAAGACCATCAAGCACAGCCATTACCCAGCACCACTATTTTCACCTTTGAACCACATCCCCAAGTGCCACATCTACACATTTCTGAACTTCCAGGGATCCAGGGACAGCCACAGCTTCTCTGGTCAACCCATGCCACAGCCTCACAGGGAACAATTCCTTCCCCATATCCCATCTAACCCTGTCCTCTGGCAGTGGGAAGCCATCCCTCCTTGTCCTGTCATAACAAGTCTTGTCCAAAGTCCCTCTGGAGTGCCCTTGGAGACCCTTTAGGCACTGGAAGGGGTTCTAAAGTCTCCCTGGAGCCTTCTCCTCTCCAGGCTGAAGAGGAGACTCTGAGGAGAACTTGTAGGAGATACAGTGGAAGGGCACAGGATCCTCAGCCCTCCCCATCTGCTGCACTTCACATGACACCACCTGCAGATAAAAATACCCCAGTGGGAGCAGGCAGGGATGGACCTGGCCAGGGACAGATAATGCTGGGATCACAGAAATGTGCCCTGGCCAGTTTCGGGTTACACATTAACAAGAGAAGGGGGACAGCAGCGGTGAAGGTGATAGTCAAGCAGGCAGGGAATTTCTAAAAGGACTGGACAGCCTCATCCTGACGCTCTCCTGGCAGCAGCAGCTCTATGGGACCTGGGCACTCCGAGACTTTTGGGATCAGAGCCGTCTCCATAAGGCCAGAGCCAATTTGCAGTAGGATTTGTCAGTCTGGCAAGCTTGTACCCCCAAGGAAGGTGTGGGAAATCAAATGGGGACTTGTAAGAAAGATGGGGCAAACTTTTAAGCAAGGCCTGCTGTGATAGTACAAGGGGTGATGGTTTTAAACTAAAAGAGAGGAGATTGAGTTTAGATCTGAGGTAGAAGTTTTTATAGTAAGGGTGGGGAGATTCTGGCACAGGTTCCCAGAGAAGCTGTGGCTGTCCCTGGATCCCTGGACGTGTCCAAGGCCAGGCTGGATGGGGTTTTATCTCAGCAGAGAGGCCACATCCACTTCAAAGCACCAAGAAGAACCTGGATAGCCTTGGAAACACAGCCACACTGGGATGGGACAAAGGGCAGACCCCGAGTCCTGCTCCAGATGTCCAGAGGCTTCATGTTCACATCTGGTCACATGCAATCAGCAAAAGAGCAGGAAAGCTGCCAGTTCCTGGAGGAAGACAAACCCCACAAACCCACCAAGTGTCCCTGCTCAGAGATATTTACACTTCCAACGTGCTCTCATGGAAATTAATCCCAGTCTCACCCCTGCAGGTATGGTAAACATGTGAAGGGAGGAATGGGGAGAGGCCAGGACAGTGGAGCAAGGGGAACAAAGCTGTTTGGGTGTACCAGCCTTCCCGAAATGTGGTGGAACAGGCCCAAGCAGGACTTGGCAGGGCTGCTTGGGCTCCCTTCCAGCCCGGCTGGACCTCCAGCCCCCTGCAGCCATCCTGTGACCTGGAGGAGGCTGATGCCATCCCCTGGGCTCCCCGACAGCTCCCTCGAGGTTTCCCCAGCCTGTTAAATTAAAGAAGCCCCAAAGAGGGGTTTTTAATTCTGCTGGAGAAAGCCAAAGCATGCAAGAATCAAGGAATTCTGCACATGGGGGAAAACACATTGTTCCCTGTGAAACTTGTTTTTCCCCATCCGTAGAATTCCGTGCTTCCTGCATGCTTTAAGAATCTTGTCCTTCCCAAGCCACGTATTTTCTTTCTTCTTTTTCTCTGTATTTTAATACTTCCTTATGTTTTTCTTTCCTGGCAAAAAGCAGTGAGCAATGCTAGCCGCTGAGGTGTCACCTGTCCCCTTGCCGCGGCTGTAGGAGCGGTGTGATCCGCATCCCCATGGCACCCCCGCGTGGGGAAAGCCTGGAGCCTGAGTTTTCCTCTGCATGGAGGCCTTGAAGAAAGGCTGGAAACACCTTGCTCAGTGCCACCATCAGCTTCGAAAGCCTGGAAGAAACACACAGAACAGAATTGTGGATGTCAGATAATGCCAAACTCAATTTTTGGCTTTACGTGCTCCTGGGAGTGGTTGGGAACATTATGGAGATTATGGTTAATTATTTCAGATAATTTTATACTTTATTTTTTATTTGTTATACTTTTATTCACTTTTTGATTTTCCTTTTTCCCCCATTATTTTATTCTTATCTATATATGATATTTGATGAATTTTCCAATAGAAATGAATTTATGAGTCTATGTGCATGTCTCTCTCAATCATTATATCCACTAAGCTTTTTATTACTTATATATTCATTTAAATATAAAATAAATTCATATATATCCACACACAATACAAAATAAATATTCCTATACGAGAGAGCTGGGGAGGGACATTGGACAAGGGAGGGAGGGTCAGGATAAGGGGGAATGACTTTCCACTGACAGAGGAAATAGATGGGATATTGGGAAGGAATTCTTGGCTATGAGGGTGGTGAGGCCCTGGCACAGGGTGCCCAGAGAAATTGTGGATCCCTGGAAGTGTCCAAGGCTGGGCTGGACATTGGGGCTTGGAGCAGCCTGGGGTAATGGAAGGTGTCCCTACCCATTGCAGGGATGGAATGAGATTTTTTTTTTTAAGGATGTTCCAACTAAGCCATTCTGGGATTCTATGACATTCCTAACCATTCATATTAGCTACAATTAAATATCATACATTTCACATAAAAAGCTGATTTCTCCAGAGGAAGCTGCTGTGCTGCAGGAGAGACCCCTCCATGGTCTCTACTGGTGAGCAAACCCTTCTGCCAGGGGTGCTCCTGCCAGCCCTGTGGGCAAAATCCAGGGCTGGAGAAGTGGCTGTGCCAAGGCTCTGGCAGCGGAGCTGCCTCGCGCGTTAATCACGGGCCCAGCGCGGGTTCCAGCTTGCCAGATTCCACTCGGAAGCGCGTCCTGGCAGCTGAGAACCCTCCAACACATCGTGGGTTTGTGCTTGAAAAGGTTTAAACCCCTGCAGGGATTAAATTCAGATGTGAAGAATGAACAGGCCTGACGGGACAGCGCAGCAGCTGCTTGGGAGCTGGGATCCAACAAGTTGCCTTTGCCTGAGGATGGGAATCAAGGGAACTCTGCTTCCTAAAGTTCCTCTCCAAATTTTGCTTTTATGGCTAAATTCTTCTTTATTTTCCTTTTATTTTTCTTCTGGATGAGGGAATAAGCTGCTGTTTTCAGCTGTGGGTTGTCACCATCAGCTGGAATTTGGCTTTTGGGGTTTCCAGCCTTGATGCCTCATCTCTGCTGGGGTTCCCTGAGAGGTGTGTATTGCTCTGGGGCTGTATTCTGCACCCTCCTTCATATAAAATGAAATGAAATGAAATGAAATGAAATGAAATGAAATGAAATGAAATAGAATGAAATAAAAATAAATTAAATTAAACAGAATGAAATTAAATGAAACAAGATAAAATAAAGGTCAATAAAATATAAAATAATAAGTGGTCCAGTGGAAGGTGTTTCTGGCCATGGCATGGGATGGAACTGGATGATCCATAAGAGTCCCTTCCAACCCAAACCATTCTGGAATTCCATGAGACTCAACTGCCTTCAGGTCCTGTATTCCGAAAGGAGAAATCAAGGGATAAGGGCTCAGCCTAAGCTGGATTCCATTTATGCTGTGAAAACAAGTATTTTGATAAAATATACAACACTTAGACACTTACACTATTGACTTTTTGATAATCTTTATTTCACATCCTTGTTTTCCCCTATTATCAGCACTATTATTAAGATGTGAAAGAGCCATGGGCAGCTACAAGAGGCAGCTCCATCAGGATTTATCATCCCAGATGTAAAATCCTCCAGGATTCATGCTGAACCTGCAGCACTCCATGAGTCAGGCTTCAGGGAATCTGTGGTCAAACAGATAAAACATAATTATTCATGGAAGAATACAAGCAAATAGTGGAAAAACAACTGCTCATAAGGGAGGATGATACATCTGCGTGTAGGCCCGGTACCTAAAGTAATTCTCAGTCCAGCATGCAGAAGTCTAGGCATGATTTTTTAAAAGCCTGGGCTAATGGAAGGTGTCCTTGCCCATGGCAGGGGGGTGGAACTGGATGGGCTTTAAGGTCCCTTTCAGCCCAAACCATTTCATGATTCCATGAAGGGCTGCATACACAGATCCCATCCCCTTGCAGCCCTAAAAAGGAGATGAAATATTTTTTCACAGCATCTGCTGCTGCACCAGGTCTCAGCAACCATTTCAAGTTTCCCGCGGAGAAAGCATTAAGGACTAATTAGCAGCACTAAATAAACTAATAGCTGGAGGGAGAAGCAGAATTCAAGTTGCATTTTAGTTTTAAAGGTGGTTAAAGCATCTTTAAAGGCAAGGGGTCATTTTCTGGGAGCTGGAGCAAAGCAGCTCATCAATAATGAAGGAGTTGGTGATGGAGCTGCGGCACGCTGGAGCACTTGGGAAAATACAATTATGGGAATTGCCTGACGCTCTGCAAACTGCCCCAGAATTTGCTTAAGAGAAACAGCCAAATGCATGTTAATATTTCAAAGATTTCGTAGCAGCAGAACTAATAAGCAATGGCCAGGAATTTCAGTGCTGCAGAGGGGGGTTAAAACCCAAAAGTACTTCTGATCAGGGGTGTTTAATTCACGCCCAGTGAAACATGACAGAGCTGGGAGCGTCACTTCTGCCTCCTGGGCTCTCTGCATCTGCAATGCTGAAGAGTTCAGCTTTGTTTTATTTTATTTTCCTCTGCTTAAAACCAACCCCGTGCAAAAGCTCGTGTCTGGGTGCTCTGCTTCCCAGAGTGCTGCCCTTGGGATGCACCCGGGTCTGGGATTCTCCATCAAGGGATTCTCCAGCTGCTGTCAGGGGGTGATGCTCCCTCATGTGCTTCAGCTCAAGTCCAGCCCTTGCTGCCCAGCTTTGTTAGAGCAGCCTGGAAAGTGCTGGGGAGAAGGGGATGGCTGCTTTGTGCCAGGGAGAACCCCAGATTTCCACCAGCTGTGTCCTACACACCAATCCCGGTGTGTGGATCCTGCACTGGATAGTGCTTTGGAGGGCATTGCACCCTTTTGGGAACCTCCTTGTACCCCTGAGCACCCCAACAGCATCCAGACCACTCCCTGTGCACCCCCCTTCACTGCCCCATGCACAACCTGCACCCTCCCTGTGCAAACACCCTCACCTTTGTGCAGCCCTTGTGCAAACCCCAAACCCTTCGTGTGCCCCCCTGTGCAAACCCCAAACCCTTCGTGTGCCCCCTTGTCCACCCCCTACACAGCCCCGCACCCTCACTGTGCCCCACCATGCACCCCGTACATACCCCCACTGTGCACACCTCGCACACCCCGCAGCCCCCGCACACACCCCCTTGTGCACACCCCACTGTGCACACACGCACACCCCGCAGCCCCCGCACACACCCCCTTGTGCACACCCCACTGTGCACACACGCACACCCCGCAGCCCCCGCACACACCCCCTTGTGCACACCCCACTGTGCACACACGCACACCCCGCAGCCCCCGCACACACCCCCTTGTGCACACCCCAAACCCCCATCGCGTCCCCACGGCGCCCCCTCCCCTCAGGCCGCCGCCCCCGTGGCGCCCCCCCGCGGCCGCCGCGCGCGCCGGGGGCGTTCCCGCCCCGCCCCTGGCCATGGCGGCCGCCGGGGGCTGTGCAGGCCCCGGGGCGGCCGCTGGGGGGCGCGCGCGGCCGCCGCGCGCCTCTCGCTGCGTCGGGTTTGGTTTGGGTTGGTTTTTGGTTTTGTTTTCTTTTTTTGTTGTTGTTGTTTTCTTTTTTTCCCTTTCTTTCTTTCTTTTTTTTTTTTTTTTTTTTTTTTCCTTCCTCTTTTTTTTTCTCCCCCACCACATCTTTTCCCGAAGTCTCTCCCCGCTCTCCCTCCGTCGCCTCCTTCCCCTCGCCGCTCCCCAGCGCCGGGACGCGGCTCCGCTGCCCGCAAGGAAGAGGCGGCCTCCCCCCGCCGTCCCTCCCCGCCTCCCTCCCTTCCCTCCCCGCTCCTCCCGCCAACCGGGACTCGCCCCGAACCGGGAGGGAGACGGTCGCTCCCCGCTCCTCCTCCTGCTGCTGCTCCTCCTCCTGCAGCGGGGGCCGCATCCTGCTGCCGGGGGGAGGGAATTGATGTGGATGCCCAGCGCAGCACCAGCACCATGCAGCCGCCGCCGAGGAAGGTGAGACCCCCGCCCGGCGCAGGGGGCTGTTTGCGGAGGGGCCGGGGCGGCCGAGCGGTGGTTGCGGCGTGGGGCGGGGTGCTTTGGGCTGCGGGGGGATTCGGGGGTCCGAGGCCGCGGGGAGGGGGCGCAGGGTGGGCTGTGCGGCGGGGGAGGCTGCGGGAAGCTTCGGAGAGGGAGCGCGAGTGTTGGGAAGGGAGCGGGGGGCTCGGCGGAGAGCTGGGGGCCGGGGGGGCTTTGGCGAGGGTGGCCGTGCAAGGTGGGTCGTGGGGGGATGTCGGGGGGCGCTGGGGACCGGGCACGGAGGGGCGGGATGGGTTGGGAGCGAGCTGCGGAGGTAGGACAGGGCAGGGATGGGGACGCGCCGGTGAGGATGGAGGTGCAGGGGGGCTTGGGGACCCCCCTCTGCAGAAGGGAGACGGAGGGCAGGGAGGGGTGAGCGGCTGCGGAGGGCTCGGCTGCACGGGGGCGTGGAGGTCGTGCTGCCTGCGGGGTGCTCCCACGGGAATTTTGGGGGCTCCCGCGGTGCGTCGGTGCCAGCAACGAGGGGTTGGTTGTCTTGGGGAAGGAGGTCACGTCTGGAGTTGATCCAGGGACGCAGCCTGTCCCGGCGTGTGCCAGGAGCACACAGGAGCAGGGGCAGGCGGAATTGTGCAGCATTTCCACGCGCGTTCCCACGTGCGATGGGGAACAACATGCCGATGCTCCGGGGAGGCTCTTCGGTGACCCTGCGGTCCCTGGCAATGTGGGCTGCTGCCCGGCGGGGGGACTGGTGCGGGAGCGGAGGCAAGCGGGAATGGAAATTTGGGATAGAGGATGTGCCCGCTGTGCCTTGTCTGGCTGGGCAGGTTGGTATCTGGGAGACCTGAGCTGCCTTGAGTTGCTCCGGGGTGATTTTTGGGCACGTTCTGGGGGTTGCGCGGGATGTGGGGCTGCAGGGAGAAGGCAGAGCTGCAGAGGATGGAGAGGCTGCTGCTGTGCGGGCAGGGGTTCCGTGGGGCTGAGACCTGTGCCTGTTCCATGTCCGCGGTCCTGCCCGCTTGGGGATGCTCTGGCTGTGATGGTTGCAGCCCCGTGGAGATTTTCGGTGGGGTTTCTCTGTGGGGACAGTTCTGCTCCTGGCAAAGCCCTGCAACAGTGACCAGGAGAGGAGGGAACATGAACAGGATTCCCTTGTCATGCCCAGAGCTCCCCAGTAGCCCTGGCAGGCAGCTGCAATGAAGGTCTCTCATTCCTGCTTCTCAGCCTCTTATTTTAGGAGCAGACTCTGATTTTGTCAAACAAAACCAATTTCATTTCAATTATTTCAATTTTAGTTTATTTATTTTACATGTTTGTCGTTCTTTGCCTGTACTATTTCATTTGCGATTATTTCCATTACCTGGTTTGTGTCGTGTGGATTTATTTATTTTGAGTTGGGCTTTTTTTTAATACACAGATAAAACCAAAAATGCTGAAAGTTCACATTAAAAATAGACATTTTTTTCTGCTTAAAGTCAGAGACATACATGTGATTTATTTTTCTGGTGTCATGTGAAAAATTTGTCTTTATGTGATGTTGTCATTAAAGGGTGCTTGTTGCTGAGGCATGGTTTTCAGAGTTAAAATAGAGAAGCTGATGAGATTCAGGATTTCTTTTTTTTTTGCCTGGCTAGTGAAGAAGAGTGAGATGGGTGCCCTCTTCCTCTGTGAATTTCTCATCCCTCTGCAGTAATGGTTTGGCACTTCTATCCTCATGAATTCATAATGTCTTCAGAGATATTTGTGGTCATTTTTTAGGCCGATATGTGGATTCCCTGTGATCACTAGAGGGCTTAAATATCAAGACCTCTTGTTTAATAAAAAAACAAGAACAAAACAATTCCAAGGTTACCTTCCAAAACCAAATCCTATACCTGTGCCATTGGTGCTCCTTGCCAGTTACCAAGCAGGTTCCCAAAGTATTGGAATTTTGGATGATCCCAAAGTATTGGAATTTTGATCACAAGGCTCAAAGGAAAACTACAGCAGTACTAAAAATGTAAAGCCAGCCTTCTGAAGCCTTTCCCAGTTTGTTTGTTTGTTTTCTTATTGAAATGTGACTTAAACTACAGGAAATGTAAGTGATCCTTGGGCTTGTTTGTTTCTTTTCTTGTTGAAATGTGACTGGAACTGCAGAAAATATAAGTGGTCCTTGAATTTGTTTGGTTTTTTTGTAGGTAAAAGTTACACAAGAGCTGAAAAACGTTCAGGTTGAGCAGATGACAAAACTTCAGGCCAAGCATCAGGCAGAATGTGACCTACTGGAAGATATCAGGTAAGGCTACAGAAAATGTTACCAAAATTCCTTTAAGGTCCAGTTTTTGGAAGAACATTTGAGTTACAAAATTCAGGAACTGACGATGGAATTTCCTCTTTGGATTTCCTGCTTTTAGGCTGTTAAAGTTTTGACACAGCTGGAAATTATAACTGGAGCTAACACAATGCAAACCCTTTTTTTTTTCTTTTCTTCAATGGGGGAAATGTTAAAAGAAACTCACAAACAACAATCCAGAAAGCATTGGTCTTTTCAGCAATATTTATTTATATAATATACTGAGACTTTGATTTACCAGTTGTAAAAGACTGCTAAAATTACTAAAATATTTTAAAGCCACTGATAATTTATGTCTCTCTAGAGATAGCTTTGAAAATCACTTTCAAGCAGATTGCATTTTTTACCAGAAAGTTACAAGAAGATATTTGCATTTATAATTTAAAACTCTGAATGGGTTCAAAACAATAGAGAAAATCCACACAACATCAGTTGTGGGGGTTTTATTATTTCTTTTACCTTATATGATTTGATTCTCCTGAAATTAAAGGTTTGCTTTTAACAAAATATGGTGGGAGTCGGTATCTGGCATTATATGGAGGATTAATCATTCAATTTCCTGTAAAATATTCAGCACAAGTTCATTGCTGCCCTGCTCTTTTTGGCAGTGGGTAGTCCACATGTTAATTATTTAAATGAGATTTCCTGCTTGATGCTTGCGTATTAAATGCAAGTGTTTGGCTTTGACAGATGCAGTTCTGTTTGTCTCACTATCAGTGTCCTCCATAAATCAGAATGTCAAGGCTGGAGCCTTTTCTCCCCCTTGTGTTTTTGGGTGTTGAAACACTTTTTTTCCTATGGGAAAGATCACAGCATTCACTTCCTCAGATTAAGATTATTCTGGGGAGTGTGTAACATGCAAATGCTGAGTAATAAGTAACAGATTGATCCAAGGAATTTTCCTCCCTTAGATGGAAACTTATTTTTAGACCATCTAGGCTGGCTACTGCTGCTCTAGCCCAGGTTTTGTTAGCACTTGCTATTTTTCAGGAGCTTGTGATCACTTCAGTCTGTATTCTGCTGTAAGATGTTGTAAGCCTGTGGATACAAACCCAGGAAAACATGAAAATGCCATCTTAAAATATCTTCCTTTAGTGTAATTTAATTTCTGCAGTTAATTAAATTTCTGAATTTTAATGCTGGGGATTAGGAAGCCAGGTTAATATGTTTAATTCACTCCCGTGGTCACTGAGTGTGTTCAGTGCTCTGGTTGCAGAATTGCTGCGTGGATTTACAGATGAAACATTCTTTCAGTGTGGGGTGGTGAGATGGGGTGTGACAGCTCAGTGGTGTCAGTGACTTGTTCAAATATCAGAGAAGAGAATCAGAACCAGGGAATTTGGGGTTAATTTGCTGAACAGTCCCTGGTCTTGGTGTGTGATGCATAGGCCTTTGGATTGGGAAGGGGGAAAGCATGGTGTTGGTCAGGGTGTGATGCTCCTGGGGGAATTGTGTCAACCTCACCCCAATATCCCCTGTCATTTATGGCTGGATTCAGGATATGCAGCCACTGTGGTTCTGGAGTGTTCCAGAAAGCTGGAAGCACACACAGGATCTTTTTGTCTCTGGAAGGAAGGTTTGTTTTTATAGAAAGCACCCTGCTGTTATCCCAAAGTGTGGAATTTGAGCAGAGTGCCATTTGTTTATCAAGAACTGAGTCTGGGTCTTTTGGTAGCATTTTGGAAGCTTCTGGGCACTGCAGGAGCACAAATTTGTACTCAAAATTCCAGAAACTGAATCAGGGCTTGCAAACCAGTGATTAAAAATGCATGTTTGAAAAAGTTACTTTATTGTGAATAATTGCTTCGTTTGTTGGCACATAAATGCAAGCATTCAAATCACATTTTTTGTATTGCTTCAGTTGGGTTTTATGTGCAACTAAAGAGAAGTGATAGGAAGAAAAGATCAGAAAGTTCTCCAGCAGAATACATGTATTGTCTGGTGTATTAGCAGATGATTTTTGGCAGCCTACCAGCCCATAAAGCATGCTTGCAGTACCAGCAGCTTTGATATCTTTATGCAAAACTGGGGATTCTTGGTCAGGGTTGAGGTATTTGTGTGTAACTACCCCTGTTTTTTTGGATGGCTTTTGACACTATATAAAATTTTAGTATTTATTTAAAAAATAACCAAATGTCCATTTTAGTCTTAACAAACTGTTGTTCCTTTGTGGAAGCTCAGTACCACTAAGGCTGAAATCTCTTTGACAAGACTCTAATTTAAAGAATGTGTTTGAAATGTGTTAGCAAACAGATTAAAAAATACATTTTTGTTTTTATAATTTCTGTTTGGCTCTTTGTGTTACATTTCTTCATGCTCAGTGACTGGGGAATTTGGGGAACAAGTGATACAAGTGATTCAGGGTGCTTTTAGGGTCTTTTGGCTTACTTTTAGGCATGACGTGTTTATGTTCTATAGCTCACTAAAGCTATCTCATGCTTTCATGTGGGATATCTGTGTTGGCATTACCATAAAAAAGGTTGTCTTTCTGCCACTGGGATGGAGAAAAAGGTTTTTTTCCTTGACAGGTAGATGTAGGTTTTGTTGCTGTGATCCAGAAATCCGTCAACATTTATGGCAAGGGGTCCCTCACTCCATCCACATTGGCTGCTTTTAGGCAGTGAGTTAATTATTATTTTGCTGGGCTATGAATGGCTGAAATTATCAGGGGTGTTAGCAACATTCATGTATTTTTATATTGGTTTTGAGATTGCCTTATTTGACTGATGGTGGTAAGTAAGTCACAGCCAGGGTCTGCAAATGCCCTTGATTTGCTGGGACAGAGAGATGTTTTACTTTTGTATGTGTACCAGTGCCTGCAGAATTGTAAAGAACTCTGTATGATTCACATTTTAATTCAACTTGGCATTTCTGTGAGGTATTTATGTGCTACAGACTTTATAAACTCATTAAGTGATAATTGCTTTACATTAAACATTGGGTCATGCTTTTTCAAAGGCTTGGGGTCTGCTTTTCCAAGGCACTTGTTATGCCTTTTCAGGTTTTACTGAGGTATCCTAAAATGTCCTTTTTAAAACTTATTCACATTTGTGTTTTCCTATAGAGAATGAAGTTGTGTTTATGTGTCTGTTTCAACTTTAGTCTGGACTAAAGACCTGGAGCCAGGCCTGCTAGCCCAACTAATTCTGCTGCAACACAGGGTGGGCGAGCTCTGTGGATCAGGGAGCTCACCCACCTGAAATCAAACCTTCCCTGGCTTTTCCCCCAGATTTTTGATAAATCCAGTCCCTGGTCTGGTGTGGCAGGGGAAGGAGGAGGAATGATGAGTACCTGAGGGAGGAGAGGGAAAGCAAACCTGCTCAACAGCAGCCCAGGTTCACACGAGTTTAAAGTCACTATATAAGCCCAGCCTGATGCCCCTGTAGGATGCACAGCTGCTGCTTTGTGAGTTACAGCTCTGGAAAATTCACCTCATTTAAGTCTTAACTCGTTCTGGCTGTCTGGATGTGTTGATCTACGTTGCTTCATCCTTTTAAGTCATTTGAAATGAGATGTAAAGATTGCCTGATTTCTGGCTGAGACGGAGTAACAATACAGTCCTTTCATTTGTTGGCTCCTGAATTTAATTTTTTCAGGTTGTTTTTGTTTTTTTTTTTTTTTTTCATTCATAGCTTAAAAGGAATTGCCAAAAAGGCTCACAATCTACTTGTGCAACTGATAGAGATGTGAATCTATGTACAAATACTTCCTTCTGTTTGCTTCCCTCTTCTGTCCTTGTGGTTTCTGCCTCCTGACAGAAAACACCTCCTTGTTCTGTTTGATAAAGCTGCATTTCTCTGTGTTACTCACCTTTATTCTGCTGCTGCCTTGACTTTGTGGGGTGTTCTTGTGGGTCCCTTCCAGCTCAGAATATTCTGTGACTGTGATTTCTATCTTCCACCCTCTCCTCCAAAGCTCTGCCTTCTAACGATTCCTTCTTACTTCCAATTTGTCAACTCTTTTTTTGTTTTCCTCTCAGGTGCTTCATCTCCTCCCTTTCTTTATCCAGTTCTGACCTTGTGAATTTTAATTAGTTCTCTATTCCTGAGATTCTTTCCTATTTAACGTGCAGCAGAGCCACTGAAGATGTGTTAAGCCAAGTGGGGAGATCTTGTGGCTCTTCCTTACCAATGTGAGCCCTTCCTGTGTTGGATGCTGTTGCTGGGCTGTCCCTCCTGCAGGTTGTGAGGGAAGAAGCAATTCCAGGGCAGGATTTGTGTTTCTGTGCCCAGGATGAGGACAGAGAACTCCTTCGATGCCTCAGCCTGTCGTAACAAGCCAGAGCGAGCAGCACAGATATTTAAAAAAAGAAAGTAAAAGTATGAATGGATTTACATCTGTAGCCAGCCAGTTCCTGCTCATTTGAACATGTCATTTTCTGTGCTCAGTTGTGCTCCGTGGAAGCTTTTGCTGCTGGATACTCTTTTTGCTGTTGGATACACTTTGTACTCCCCGGTGGAATTTGTGCTCCTGGAATCAGGCTGGCTGTGTTGGCAGGTTCCTGATAAGGTTTATGGCAGCTGGGGCTGAGTCTGGAGGAGAGACCAGCAGCAGTTCCAGTTTTAAATACAGCAAATCTACACCATCCCTTAAAAGATTCTGTGTTAGGCAAGAGCCTTGTGGAGCTGTGCAAGGAGGAGCAGATGGAGAAAAAAGCTGTAAAATAATATGTATTTACATGTGTGTGTAGCCATATGTATTAGAATCCCATAAGAGATTCTGAATAATTTTGAGACATCTCTGCTTTTCCTGCCCCCGTGCACGGTGGTGGTGAGGAGTTAACCTTTCTTCCTGTTCTGTCTGGTCTCCAGCTGCAGGGAATGCAATTTATTTGGATATTCCTGAACCTGCGCTCCAGAGCATGTTTGCCTCTGGCTAGTGGGTATCTGATAAAGCCCCTTTTTAAAAAATTCATCTATCCATGAGCAGGTCCATCTCTTTTT